ACCGCGCTGCTCCTGACGAACTGTGCGGTCGGGGGCCCACCCGGCCCCCCAAGTGTCAGTTTTACATTCACAAAATGGATAGAAAAATTCCTGCCTCCGTGTGCGCTTGGGCGCTTCCCAAACTTGCCTCCTCGTGAAAATGGGGTCTGGGGCCCTTATTTAAAAAACAAAAGTAAATGTAAATACATAAATACTACATAAAACACATATGTAACATGTAACATTTATATCCCCAGCCTTTCCCAGTGCAGAGGGATTCGCAGGGCGGAGCGGGACTGGGGTGCGGCCGCCGGTGCGTGTGCGGCGGGTTGAGTTTCGGGGGGCCCTCGCCGGCGGCTGTCACCGAGGCCAGTGTGGACTCGGGGTGTAGTGGCCGCCCCCAGCTGCCCGCGAGCTGTCACCTCCGTGGGGAGGGTGCCCTTGTGCAAAGGCAAAACCTCAGGACGTGCCCCTCGTCCTCCCCCGCAACCACTTTGCCCCGAAAACCCACCCGTGTAGAAACGGGGTGTGTGTGGGGGGTTCATGGTGGGAGACCCCACTCTCGTGAACCCCCTGCTGACGGCAGCTCCCAGAGCAGCCATGCTAAGCCGGGGTCAAGGCCTGGGGCTCGGCACGTGTTCCAGAAGCTCCCTGTGCTCCCCTCCCAGCGGAGTCCAGCTTCCTCCGCCCTGGATTGTGGACGCCCGTCCCGGCTTGTCTGGCGGGGCAGGGGCTGCAGGTGGGAGGTTGAAGTCCCGGGCTATTCCCGGGGGTGGTGTAACTTTTTAATTCGGGAAGTGACAGTTCTTTGTTTGCTGGAGCCAGGCATTCAGTGGAAGGTGTAGAGGCAGCTCGGGGCCTTCCCATCTAGATAAGGGCTTTCTTTTCAGTGCCTGTTCCCCACAGGACTCGCTCTAAATGGCCCTGACTGTTCGCCCGAATAGTCTGTGAGTCTTTTTATAGCTTCCGCTGTCATTTTCATTGACCCCTTAATCGTTAAATCTGAAAGCGATCTGTAGCGAGCCTCTCTTTTTAGCACGAATCTGTTTCCAGTTCTGGGTTTTTTCCTAGTGATGGACCACTGTGTTTCGGGGTGTGGGCAGAGCTGTTGAGAGCTGCCAAGCTACTGTGAAGAAAAAAAAAATCCTGAGCGTTTTACATTCTTTTAAACTGAATCAAGCCTATTGTCATGGGGTTACAATGGACAAGAGTGGGTATCTTCAGAGCAGTGGTTGGAGTTCATTTATTCATTCAACAAGTATTTGTGGAGTACCTGCTGTGTGCTAGCACTGGCCAGTAGAAATGAAACGTGAGCCACATACGTAATTTAAAATGTTCCGGTAGCTGCATACAAAAAGTGAAACAGGTGAAATTAATTTTAAAACTATATCTTTGTCAGTCCAACATGTCCAAAACATCATTTTGTATTTTAGACTTTTTTTTGGTATTAAGTCTTCAAGATGAGATGTATATTATATACATAATCTTAATTTGGACTCACCACATTTTCATTGGTCAGTAGCCACGTGTGGCTAGTGGTTACTGTATTGGACAGCACAGCCCAATAGCCATGAACAGATAAGTTTGGGCTGGGGGTGGGGAAGAGATGGACAATAAATACATAAAAATGACAAGTGCCATCAAGAAAAGATAGATGAGCAATAGGTATAAAGAAAATTTAATGGAGTGAGAGGAAAGTGACTGGGCCACTTTATTTATTTGTTTATTTTTTAAAATATATTTTTATTGATTTTGGAGAGTAAGGGAGAGGGGGAGAGAGAGAGAGATAGAAACATCAATGATGAGAATCATTGATTAGCTGCCTCCTGCGCACCCCACACTGGGGATCGAGCCCACATCTCGGGCATGTGCCCTTACAGGGAATTGAACCAAGACCTCCTGGTCCATAGGTCGATACTCAACCACTGAGCCACACCAGCCAGCCTAACTGGGCCACTTTAGATTGTGAGGCCAGGAAGGCTTCTGAGAAGGCGACATCAGCACCAGCCCTGAAGGGTGAGATGGAACAGCCAGGCAAAGATATGGGGCCCTCTAGGCAGCGTTTCCCAGGCCGATGGACCATCTAATGCAGTGGTTCTCGACCTCCTGGCCCTTTAAATACAGTTCCTCATGTTGTGACCCAACCATAAAATTATTTTCGTTGCTACTTCATAACTGTAATGTTGCTTCTGTTATGAATCGTAATGTAAATATCTCATATGCAGGATGGTCTTAGGCGACCCCTGTGAAAGGGTCGTTCGACCGCCAAAGGGGTCGTGACCCACAGGTTGAGAACCGCTGATAATGTAATGATCCTGAGGCAGGACCAGTCACCTTGCTTTCTGCTGCCTGGAGTCATAGCTTTCATCTCCATGTTAAGGCGAATCTCCTTTCACAGACAAGGCCCATCATGAATATCTTTCTGTTCAGCCTGTGTGTCCACACACATCCCAGTGTTTAATTAGAAAACCCTGATCTTTTTCACCAAGAAGGGCCATGGCAGGTGCAGGCCCAGATGAAGCTGGGTCCCCGTGGCTCTGCTTGTGTAAGCTCTGCACTAATTGCGGCTTTCTTTCCCAGCAGCCAATTTTA